ATTTAACTTTCTCACTTTGGATGATAACATCATTGTTTTCCCTATTGTCTAAGTAACCAACAAGAGTGACTAGCATTATATTCCTTATTTAATAAATTTTCTATGAGTTCTTATGAGAACATTCTTTCTACAACTAAAATAAGGACATTTCTATGAAATTATATATCAAAGAAAATCACACATAAAATTTATAGTGAATAATGAAAATGTCAAATACATTTAATTCAAAATGCCCACTGTTTATTGAAATTCTCCTGTACAATATCACTGTATAGAAAATATGAGAATGAATATGAGATAGTTCCTAATCTCCAGAATTCCACTGTCTAGAAGAGGAAACATATATATGCAACAAAGATAGAGAATATATAGAGATAACTGATATACTAACTGTATGCGTAGTATTCGGAAAACAAAGGAGATAGAGAGATTGGTTCTCTCTGGCATAGGGTAGAATCAAGGTTATAAAAGAGAAGGCATTTCGTTTAATGTTTGGCAGAGGCTAAGAGTTGGTAGCAACACAGAGGTATGTCCCAAGAATGGGAAGTGTAGGTGTAGGTGCTGTGTAGGTGGGGCAAGGAGCCTGCACAGACTGTCAGAGTGAGTAGGGCTGCAAAGACAGGATGAGCTGGATACTGAAGAGTCACAAATACCTGATTAGGAATTTGGATGTGGCATTGATAAACTAGGTAAGGCATTAAACAGAGGAACAAAAGTATACAGTAAGTGCTTCAGAAAGATAACGTAGATAAAAATGAGGACAATAGAAAGAACTAGAAGGAAATCAGTTAGGAAGAGTTTAGGAATAAAACTGGAAATGAAGAATAAAGAGATTCTTATTTGGAAAGTGAGAGTAGATATTTGGAAATACAGAAAACAACACTTAGAAAGGACTAGAAATGAGCTTTTAAATGTTTTAAAAGTGTCATCAGTTTTAGAATTTAATTTTCTTTTGTGACCCCTCACTGAAATACTTTGATTTTTTTTTTCTTATCTACTGTGTCATTATATTGCAAAGCCTATTGCATCAATTCTTCTTTCAATTTGGGCTGTTGGTCCTTGACTTGTGATTATTAAACCAGAAATGATTCTCTCCAAGGAGGCTCAGTTGCTGGTGTTATCTCAGCTTCCTTGCAGTGGCCTGTGTCAAGGGAATTTGTCTGGAAAGTAAAAAGTGTATCTCTGTGCTTTTGGCAAATAGAATCAAAACTCTATCTTTCTTTGCTACACTTAACACCCTTTTAACTTCTCAAATCATTCTAACCCCATCAGTTTCTGTTTTCTCTGTCTTGAAAGTGCATGAATCCATGTTATTGCATCCTGGCACCTTAACTAAAATT